GAAAAAACTTTCCCTCAAATCAGTGAGGAAATTTCTTTATTGTTTTCCTTCAGGAATTCATTGGATGAAGAGAAGAACCAGGGCAATGTGTCAGAGCCTGGGCAGTGCTCTCCCTCACCCTAAGATAGCTGGCCAGCACGCAAGACCAGCAGATACAGTGCAGCTGTCTCACCTTGGTGTAGACTGTGGGGAGAAAGAGCTGTTAGAAAGAGATGTAAGAGACCTTGGTGAGAGCTCATTCAGGAGCTGAGCCTCTTGCTGCTGTTCCGTGCCTGAGCTATGGTGCGGGCATGCCCATGTCTGGCCGCCACCTCCCTGACCCCACAGACATAAGGATAAGCTGTGGTGAATGGTCCCAGTGCTGTTGTCACGTCACGCCACTTGTACGTTCTTGAAATATCAAAAATAAAACCACAAAGGTATAAAGACCAATCCACTTGAGCAGAAGAAACCCTGGAAATATTGGGAAGTTGATTGATAAAATTCTCTGTGTTTCTTTTCCCTTGAATAATTTAATTTTGACAAATCAAGAGGTTTGGTTTAAAATTACTTCTCAGAAGATTAAAGATTAGCTCTAGTGGCAAACTCTCTGTACTGGGATATAGAGGGATGTGCAAAATTAACAAATCTGAAAATTAAACAAATACGAAAATTAAACAAATACACCAAATCAATTCTCCCTTCCCACCAGATATTTAGCGTAACTATGGCTTAAAATTACGGCCTAACTTTCTCTCAAGCCTCTAGAACGGTAAAACTATGGAGAAGAAGAAAAGAGTAGGATATTTCCTTTCTCCTGACCGATCTCTATAAAAACTTAGATTACTGAAATACTAAACCATGACTGTAAACTAGCTATTAAGATACTAAGGACAGAGGAAGAAGAACTAGTGTTTTGAGAACTTTATTTTCAGTTGCTGTTTAGGATCCTTTAAAGAGACCATCCAAATGTACTGAGCGCTCTGAAATATCAAACCACTCTTCAGTGTCTTACGTTGTGCATCCCAGATCTGTAGTACTGTCTAGTGATTAAGATATTGTGTTGTTTACATTAGCATTGTGTTATTCTTAGTACCCACATAATATTCTTACTGTATTTGACGAGGACTGTTTAAGAGTTAATAGCGCTGCAAAACACCACTTCTCCAATCTGCAAACACAGTAAGATGCATTATCTGCAGAATTATGTTAGCTCTGGAGTTAACCACAGGATAAAAAGATGCCATCTCCGCAATGAACCTCATTTTAGCACAAGGCAAACATGCTTCCCCCACATCAGCTAGTCTCACAGCGTTAGTGGTGTGCTGTGATTGATTACCAGCAGTGTTGCTGAGATATGGATTTGTATCTCAGCTTTTTATCACTATGACTTGCAAAGGGCAGTTCCTTATTTACAGACTCTAGCTGTATTAAGTGACATTATTAGGTACTGCTTTTGTTTAAGTGACACAAAGGCCTAGCATATTGGTGGTTTATGGCATACAAGCTGTTTTAATCTGATGACTTACCCCTCACTTTTTCCAATTTGTAAATAGAAGCTGCAGCACAAGAACATATGGTACTAAAGAAATTAAAGCTAAAGTAAATGGCATTAAAACAAATTCAAATATAACAACAGGATACTCAATCTGAATTATAAACCTTGATCTGTATTAAGACTTTTAAAAACAGGAAATAAAAAACTAAATATGAAAATTAACCTTTCAGGTGTTTCTTAAAGACTATTTCAGGGGTTTACTGTGATTGAGTAATTTCCCTGTTAACCCTCATTATTTAGAACTTATAGTTAAATGAATAAATTAGCAAAGTCCTATTTTAATAGCTGAAACTACGTCTGAGTACCACATCATGAAAAATTAGTTGTTTACCTTCTTAATTTTTATGTTCATACCACATTGCTTCTTATACAGTAAAAATATATTATGCATTATGCCTAATGCTTACATTTCATACTAAATATCGATAAAAAGGCAATGAAAAGTAAAATTACATTTTCCTAACTTTGCAATACTATAGCAGCTTACTCGGAAAAGGAATTTCATTACCCTTTCATGAAAATAGGAAGATTCCCCTCATTATTACTCTGCAGATAAGCTCCAGCCTCTAGCATATGTACCATAAAGGGTCCAAAGTAAAGACATTCCTAATGTACTTAAATTATAAGTTAAGCACATGCTTAAGTTACACCAGTCAGTTTGATATGTGGGATTAGTTCCATCAGCCAGTAATCCAACAATGACTCCATCAAATACAGTTTTTTGCTACAGCTTTACACATAGTGACAAAAATTTTTCCCCAATGATGTATTACTTCAGCTAAGTATAGCAGCAAAAGTATTTTTATACCACTATAAAGACCTTCACATAACTGCCACTGCTACACTGCACTTCTACTCAACTGAAGCATATCTTTTCAGAACAACTTATTCAACTTATGTATGAGTTCTAAGTTTTTCATTTTTATTACAGCTTGGAACGTTGGTTTGTTGTTTCTTTTTTTAATCTACAGGTATCTGCTTGGTTGTCTGCAGCAGTAAAGTATCTCATCTGTGTAATTTTACAGAGATCAAATTGTAAACAGAGTTCTCCATTCTCCTGTCTATAATAAGCGATCCTGAGAAGTATATTCATGAATGAAACAGGACTGGAAGCAGGATCTGATTTTAGCATTCTCTTAGGCTTCAGAGTAAGAATCATGTATGAGAGTGCTTCTAAGCCCAAAAATCTCTAACCTGAACTCTGTAAAACATGCCAGCACTGACACAGTCAATGGAGACTAAGCACAATTCCTACTAACGCGATGATTCTCCTTTTGGGGTGACAAGAGGAGCAGCAGCTTAGAGGTGGTTTCACTCTTAACCGTGTAAAGTGGTGGTGGTACTGCCATTATTCTGACATCTCCAGTAACTCATAGCACCTGACCGCTGGCTGGCAAACACCAGCAAAGAACGAAGCAGAGGTCTGAACTGCCTAATTTGGCAATACTTCTGGTATCCGATACTTCGTATTTACTGCACTGGAATAAGTTTGCACACATCACAGCAACTATTCACTATTGCTCCCCAGACTGGGAGACAAGTTATAGTCAAGCAAAGCTGAGCAGTTCGCTGTAATAAAAGACAAACAATCCTCTGACCTTACACACTTTGGAGTCACTGTATTCAAGTATCAATCAGAGATTTCTTGTTTTTAAAAAGAGCAGTTAGCCTAATATAAACAACAAAACTCATGAAAATTTCTAGCCTTTGCTCACTTAAAGAGTGCTTGCAATTGTACCTCTCTCGGGCAGCTAGACACCCCAGGGAGCACTCTGGGCCATTTGGGATCCTGGCCAAGGCCTTTCCTTGCAGTTTCAACAGTCATTATTATTTTTTTTTTCCTTTTTCAAAAACCCAACTCAGGTTAATTCTTCTCAAGGAAGCATCAACAAAACAAATAGCCAGTTCTCTGTATATCTGCTGCTGCTATTTGCTTTGAAGAATTCTGTGTTTGAATTAAAAGTGCATAGCACAGTGATTCACTAAAATAGGGAATGTGATTAGACAGTTACCTAAACAGACACATACCATTTTTCCCTCCCCAGCAAGAACAATTTACTTAGTGAATAATCCAGTGTAAATTATGAGCATAAAGTGTAGATATCTATGTTGAGAATATACTCAACATAGATAGAATAATATACAGAAGTGCCTCCTGAACAGATGGAAAGATCCAGCGCTTCAACAACTACTAAAGATAGCAGGAAAACTGATACGCACTAACTAAGCATTTCCATTTAGATAATTTCTCCCTCTAGATACAAGTTATGATGCAAGAACTAAGAAAACTTGCATGTCATTTTGCTGTATTTCCACACATTAGCCTTTATGAAAAACATACACAAGAAAACAGGAAATGGACTCTGCCTTCCTCATCCTCTCATTCTCTTTATATTGTGTATTAAAATTGAAGACAAGAACTAGTGCACCTAGGGCAGAACTTATGTTGGATATTTCCTTGACTTCCTTTCAAGCCTAAGACAAGTGATGAACAAGATGCTCAGAGAAACTCAGTTTGCATCTTCTGTCAGCATACACAGAATTCAGGTTTCCATTTCAGTTCATTCTGCTCTAGGAAATTCACATTTCATCTAAACTCCCACTCCCAGAAGTGTAAACAGAAGCTCCAGTGGTACTGGCACTTGATCAGAAGGGCAGATTAGAGCCAAGTGCCTGAAACGTCTTGCCTCAACACTACAGTGGAAGAAGCAATGAATTCAACTCCTCAGAACAGGGTACGAATCATATTATTGCTTTGTGGTCCAAGGTCTTGACTAAATCCAGACTTCGAATCTAGATGCAATGTTGACAAAAATTTTGCCATTGGTTTTGGTAAAGACAGACTCCACATCAGCTGCTTAACACAAATGAAGCATCGAAACGTGACAGCACGCTGGTGATGTTGGCTGTCTTTATGGTAGCTAAGGTCCTAAAAGCTTTATCTGCCACAACTGGTGGCTGGCTGCAAGAACTGTTCCATGAAATTCCCTGTCTGCACAGCACAGGACTTCAGCGATGGGCCAGATGCTAATTCTTCTTATTCCAACTGTGAGGATGAAGAGGATATGACAAGGCAACATAGTATCTTTCTTTTAAAATTCAAAACACCTGTGCTGAACAAGGGTAATGGTGAAATATGCTTTGAGGAAAAACACCCATATGCCATAAAACAGCGCATTTCTGTGATCATGATTTCTAATGATTTTTCTAATGAGAGCCTAAAAAGAAGTTGCTGAAAACATTTTGTGACAAATCTTCCCAAACTTCTGTTAAATCTATCTGCATAAGGACAAGTAAGCATTAAGAGTATTTTTTTCTTTTTATTTCATCTTTTTACCTGACTTTCGGACAAGTTAGGAACATTACTACTTTTCCAACAATACCCAGAAAAATGAAAATACTGTTACACTGAAATACAGAGATACATATCATAATTTACAAAGCAAGAAACACTAATACTTACATAGCTGTGACTCTTAAGGAAATCTGAAGGGTTGCTTGTGCAGACTTTATCCCCTTCCAAGCCAATTACTCTTTTACAGATATTTGATTTGGGGTCATTTGGGCTTTTCACAATTACAATATCTCCTCTGAGAGGAAAAAAAACAGAAACAAAAACAAACAACTTTAATACTCACATATATTAAAGATACTTCCTCCAAATTCTTGTCTACAATTTGAGTTTCCTCAGTTTCACTCAGGGTGTAATTTTACACACAGTTTTTAAAGTACACTTGGTGAGATTCTTTGTTATTTGGATCATTTATGAAACATTTAAGACTATACTTTAATTGACAATGCTTTGATGAGATGAATGCCATTCCGGCTGCTACATAAATATGGAACAAAACAGATTTTGTGGTCCTAAATATTGTTGACCAAATGTTACTCTTCAAATGAAACTTCAAATGTCTACTCTGAATTTGTAAAGCCTGATATTACTTTTGCCTCCTGGTTATATACGTTAGATTGTACAGTGCAACAGTTCACAACAAAATGGGTGAGGGCCCTGAGCCTACTGTGCTCTACAACACAGTAATAAAATGACATTTGATAAGTGGTACTTACATCACTTGATCACTTTCCTAAAAACCTACCTGAGCGCAGCAATACCTACAAGCTTGGTTTTCAAATAAGACAAAACTGCTTAGAGAAGAGAAGTTGCATTCACACAATACAACTGTTTTCGGGGGGGGAAAAGGAAGGAATTTTTCCATTTTTGGACAAAGCTGTAGAAGTGACTTACGCTATATCCTAAGCAAGTTCTGACAAGTTCTCCGATGGGCTGTATATGCTGATTACTTAAACTTCCATCAGACACAATAAAAGGGGATTTATGAAAAATAGTAATTTGGAAGCAGAAGAATATATGAAAAAGTTGGATAGAATGTGGCTATTGCCAAGCTCTGGCAAACAGAACGTAAAATCTAATCTCAACAAAAGAGCGTACTTTCGAATGCTATAAAAGTGGCGGCTAAGGTTCTCCGAAAAGACAATATCCGAATTTTGAATGGTTGGTTCCATTGAAGGTCCAGAACACTGCAAATTAAAAATAAATTAGAAAAGAAATTACTATTTCCAATTACTTTTATCTAAAATACATTAATATACAAATTATTTGCCAATAAATTAGAAAGCTGTAATGTAAAGAACAACTAAAAAAGTGAAGTCGTTCAAGGAACATCTGATACATTTATAAGGTGAGGACAGCCTGCAGAGTGCCTCTATTGCTGTTACAGCTCTGTATCTGCTCAGGACTGGTCCTGCACTGCAGTAGGTGCTGCGAGCCCCTATGGATTCATTTCAGCACCAAATCTTCAGGAAGTTCTTAGGAGCAGCACTCGGAGCTCTGCCAGTTTACCCCTTTCTTCAGCTCTGTAAAAGAGAATCGTCACAGAAGCTGCAAAAGCAGCTCACAGCCAAACTCCACTACGTCCAGCAGCAGCACTGCCAGGTTTAGAACCTGAGGAGGAGAGGGAGGCAGCATAAACCATCCAGAAATGTGCCCAGAGTTGGAAACAAGAGCATTTCATATGACATTGTGACTCCGGTCTTTTTGAAAGAATATACTCTGCAAAATGCTCAATGTTTCCCATTTGCTTCAGTGACTTTTCAAGCAGTAACTTGGCAAAAAATACAAATACCTAAAGTAAAAATAACTTTCATAAAGGCTGGATCTGTCTCCAAAAAAAAGGCACTTACTAAGCAAACCTTGAAAAAGCTTTAAAAATCAGGAAGAAACCTGAAATACTGGCATTATTGCATATAACAGTTTCAGTATTATAGTTTTATTTTCTTTTAAAAGTCAGGAAAATGAAAAGTTACCACAACAATTCCTCCAAGGTACTCAAAGGCACAATGCGCTATGCAGCCATATTGCACAGTATACCCGAGAAATCGAAAGGTTTTTCCTAGGACACTGAGAAGCATGGTACAGTGTAACGTCGTTCAGCTGCTTCTAGTCTACAGTAAAACAGAAGAATATCATTCACTTGATAAAAAACAATCTAACATTTACAAAACTATCTTTTGTATCTAACAGCTGATGGACAATATTTTTAAATAAAACAACAGTGAATAAACCCAACAAATAATCAGATATATCTTAGGAGATTAATATAGTTTAAATGCAAACACCACCAAGAAGCTTTTCATTTACTACACAGACCTTTACATGTTTAGAACCAATGGACCCCACTCACCAGCTTATTAGTGACATTCAGTTGAGTTGAAGCTAGAACAAAAATAAAAACCAAAACAAAACACCTTTGCCAAACTAGAGAAACTAATGGGAGAGAATGGCGTCAGTGCTCTCTGCTGACTCAGCTGGGCTTCTTTTGCTGGAGATGGCAGACAGGCTCACCTGCCACACATCCAAATACCTGCAGTAGTTATCAGAACATCCTCCCCTCCACCAGGTTGGGCTGAATTGAATTGGAAAGCTGTACTCATACCTTTAAATGCAAGCTTTGACTTCCTGAGTGGACCATGTATTGTAACTCAGATGCAATTATTTATTAAATGACACTTGATAGAGTTGTTTTAATCACCTGAAGACAGTGCAACTTAAATCACTGTTTTTCTTCAAGCACTAGTATATAAAACTGAACACTCAACAGCATCCTCACAGCTAAACTGAGGAAG